ATCGTTGGGCTTCCACGAGCGGCTGCCACGTCAGAGCCAATTTTAGCCAATCAAATGTCGTTGTGTATCCGGTTGCCATCATCCACTTTGCACTTTCTGACGATGGCAAATCCAGCCGTGGCCGCGTACGAAGCCGCGTTCAGGCTGGTCCAAATGCCCAGCGCGTTCGTTGCCACGAGCGCGCTTCCGTATCCGGCGCCGTACGTCTTCCACCTCACGGGCATGGACGAGGCGGTGTCGTGGCCACTCGGCGCCACGCAGGCAGCGCAGATCGCTGCGCTCTACCCCGACAAGATCATCGCCGAGGCACACATCGAATTCGACGAGGCGTACTTGGACGACCATGACGCCGTGCTGGATATCGTCGATCGCGTCTGACTTCCGCACTTGGCGCCATCGAGCATCGTGTACATGGAGCTCTCGCACATGGTCGTGGACGACGTTGGCGACGCCGACAGCTTCCACCTGCAGCCTTCCGACAACAACGCGACTACGTTTGGGATGCTTATCGTGCTGCTTCCATCGGCGTACACTGGTGGCGTCCTCACGTTTACGCACAGCGGCCACTCGCAAACGTTCGGTGACGACATGTCGCTTCTCGAGACGTCATTTGCCGCATCGTATCTCTCAACGGCGATCACGTCCGCGCCCATCACGTCCGGGCGCCGTGCCGCCCTTGTCTACCGCTTGTTTTACCGCGGCGTAGAGGACGAGCCCCTGCAATCAGCGGAGGCGGCTTTTCGGGCGCTTGGGCAGTCGACGACGCAAGAGGTCCAGCGCCTCGGACTGGAGCTGGATGCGTCGCTCTGCTCTCTCTCCTTTGCCAACTTATCGCTCTTTAAGATGGGGCTTGTGAACGCGCTTCTCGCCGCCGGTAATTTTGACATTGGCCTGGCGACGCTCGCTGCGTACGAGAAGGGCCAAGTCCAAGCGTTCAAGCCGCATCCCGCGTGCAATATCCCCGACGCCGTTGGTCGCGGCTTGATTGGCCGACCTCTCGACGGCTTTTTGTACTTGCCGCCTCCAAACTTCGGTGCATTCGATTGTCCGCTTTGCGCGATCGTGTTTTGGCCCAAGCGCCACCGCGTCGGCATTGTCGACATCGTCCAAGTCTTGGACTTTGTCATGTTGCGACTTGAACGCGGTGACGACGACGACGACGGGTACCTCGGCATCTCGGACTCGGGCGAGCTGTTGCTGGGCGCGGTACCCTACTTTGTCCTCCACGGGCCGTCGTTGGCGAAGCCCAAGGGGCACTTGTCCAAGAATGAACGCACGTACTT